GGGACCATTCCTTGGAGAAGGATGTCATGTTTGGTAAAATGGAGGGTCGACAAAAGAGGGGAAGGCCTTCAAGTAGATGGATTGACATGGTGACTGCGACACCGGCCTCAAGTATAGCAAGGATCCTGGAGCTGGCGTGGGATTGGGCGGTGTTTCGTTCTGCTGTGTGTGAGGTCACTGTGAATTGGAATTGACTCAATGGCACCTCACAACAACAACAACAACACTTGGAAATATTCAGGCTGTTGGTCCTGTCAGAGGTGGTGACAGTCTGTAGCTCCAGCTGTCTCTGTACTCGTTGTTTTTGTTCATGTTTTTCCGCTAGTTGTTGTGTAATCCCCTTCTGTATACTTCCTTTCAAAGCTCTGCACCCCCGGATTATCTTCTGTATGTCTGTCAATTTGTTTTTCTTTTCTTTATTGAAGAGGGTCTGTTTCCCTTGTCTGCCTAGTCCTCCATCTTACCGGAAGCCCGCCATGGTATTTTCTGTCGCCCCATATGCATGTGAGAGCTGGACAGTGCATAAGGGAGACCGAAGGAGAGTTGATGCTTTTAATTTGTGGTGGCAAAGAATGCTGAAAGTACCATGGTCTGCTAAAAGGACTAACAAATCTGTTCTGGTAGAAGTGCGGCTGGAATGCTTCTTTGAAGCAAGAATGGCCAGACTTTGCCTCACCTACTTTGGTCCTATCCTCAGAAGGGACCATGCCCTGGAGAAGATTATCATACTTGGTAAAGTGGAGGGTCAACGAAAGAGGGGAACACCCTCAACAGGATGGGCTGACACAGTGCCTACAACGATGGGCTTAGGTATAGCAGGGATCGTGGAAGTGTCACAGGACTGGGCAGTGTTTTGTCCTGTTGTACCTAGGGTGGCTGTGAGTTGAACACGACTTTGACTGCACCTAACAACAGCAACAGCAGGACAGTTTTAATCGTCAAAACTGGGTACTAATGACATCTAGTAGGTAGAGTCTAGGAATACTGCTAAATATTGTAGAATGCATAGGACAGACTCCCACAAGAAAGACTTAGCTGGCCCAAGATGCCAGTAGTGCTGCTGTTGAGAACACCTAATTGTAGAGTCGTCGTCAATAACCTTTGCTTTCTTAGTGTGATAGTCATAGAAAAGTCTGTACTTTATGCAATTAGCACTCCTCCTTTAATTTTAAATTTTAATATTTTTTGTGTCAACTGTATGTATATGTTGTTGTTGTTATGTGCCGTTGAGTCGGACCCGACTCATAGCGACTCTTCCTTGGGTTTCCGAGGCGGTATCATTATGGAAGTAGATCTCCCTACCGTCTTTCCAAGGAGTGGCTGGTAGGTTTTAACCACCAGCCTTCTAGTTAGCAGTCAAGTGCCTTAGGCACTACGCTTCCAGAGCTCTCTGCATATATATAGCTGTCTAATAATATTCAAAGCAATCATTCATACACCCTTTTTCAAGTATGTAAACTCCTCTGACAGTTGATTCTGTATTTACATTAGTCGTACACTGTTGCTTTTATTTTTCCAATTTTAGATATTTCTCTTTATTTCCTTTCTCTTTATCCATTCCTCTTACTCAGTGTTTCTAGTATATCACAACTTTTGTTTAACATAGTATCTTTATATTTTATGAATCCGTGAATAATCTTCTTGTACAACCTTTTGTTTTACTTGAAGATAATCATTATTTTGTCTTTTCTTTTTGATTATTCTTCCAGAATGTAATAATTTTGAGTCCCTGCATAGCCTAAAATGTTTGTCATTCTTGAGTGATAATTTGTATAGGCATGTAATCCTGGTTTGGAAATCATTTCCCTCAAGGGAATCTTTTATTCTGTTGTACTGTGTTGCTATTGAGAAATCTAATCTTGTGGAAGCATTTTGGATCTCTGAATATTTTTACTTGGTTCTTCATTGTAGTTGGTGCATTAAATGTTATATAAAACTGTCTGTTTATTGAGTCTCCAGTCCAGAACCTTGTATAGAAAATTGTTCAGAATTCAGAGTTTATGGCAAGCAAAGGTAAGCATTATGAGGCCAATGAGAAATGTCTTTAATGAAAAAATGGCTTACTGTGAGTAAGGAAGGAAGTTTAAACTCAGACTGATCTACGTTAGTGGTCTTTGTAAGGAACTACGGGATTACCTGATAATACATGTTAAACATGTAGATTCTTGCATCCTTCCCCAAGATACTTGCGTTCAGTAAATCTGGTGTGAAATGATAAATGTGCATTTTTTTCAAGTTGAAATGGTGGTCTTGACTTAGTCAGGATCACCTGAATGTAGTTGTATCAAACTGCAGGTAAGTCTTTAGGCAGTGGTGAAGTGACTGGTAATTTAAAGTTTCTCTTCTTTTATTTATACAGACGCGTAACCTTTCAAGATAAAAGACATTTATAACCTGTATGTACATTTTTACATATGATTCATGTCTGTTGATTTTATGGGTTGCCTTTATGTAACTGGTGACTGAGTCAAGGTTGATCAGTACCTACCATTACATATGCAGTTGTATTGTTTTGTAATTATTTATTCACATGCCTCTCTCCCAGCAGTGTTTGGGACAGAGTGTGTTTTCAAACACTGTTTGAATGATATGTTGGGACAATATATTATATCCATAGAAATATTGTGCTCCTGTCTGGTTCTCTGTAGGAATTCAGTGTGAATGAATGATTTTATGAGCCTGGAGTGATCTTCTTTGTGGTGTTATGGTCTTTGATAAGCTTTATATCATGTTTGGGTATCTTTGTTTCTATATAATTAAAATACTTTACATGTGACACAATTATGTTTATTACTGAAGGTCAGTATAAATCCATTGGTAACCTATATTCAATCAGAATACTATTTTCTTTAGTTGAGGTTAAAGTTTACCATGCCTTTATCTGTTTGCCAAGATTTGCTCAGCATAAAGGAAGCCATTGCTTTAAATCTCCCTTTAAAACATTTTTATCAATAACTCTTGGCATGGTAGTATATATGCTAATTACATATTCATATTAACTTCATCAGATAATTTTGACTCTTAACTTTGTTAGCTGTTAATATATGTACATGAAAACTTTAAATGTTGGTTTTTAATTTTTGATTTAAGGAGGAAAGCATAATTTAATTCTGCATTAAATTAAAATAATCACATATTATCCTGTTATGTTTGCATAAAAGCTGCATTCCCCAAAGTAATTTATATTTTATATTGGCACGGGTTACTCAGTGGAAGTGATTTTTAGGTTTGGGATATCCTCGTATTGATTTTGTGATCAGATTGTCCTCTAAAAGAATATAACCAATGTTTCTTTATCTCTTAATTTATATTATGAAAGAAGGTTTAAATTATTTTGTCATTTCGAATAGTATGAAAAAGACTTTATGCTATATTGCTGATTTCGATTTTCAGTGTCTTAAAATTCAAGTGACTAGAAAAGATAGCGGCTTCTATTAAAATAACATTTAGTAGGTTGTGTTCTTCCCACCCAGTTTTTTTTTTAACTGTTTTTTGTGAACTAAAACATTTTATTTCTCTTAAGTGATTAAGTATTAAATGTTAGAAGTACTGCTTTGTCAACTGCTATTGAGGTAAAAATATTATATTTAGAAACTCATTTATTACTTAAGCATGTTGCATGTCTGAGCACATATTCACAGGTCACACATCTGCACTGACAGCAACAGAGGAATTGCCCTGGTTTTAATTCTGTCCTTTCTAAGAGCATGCCAGGTCATTCTTGACTTTGAGTATTATTTTGTGTACTGAAGTAATAATGCTAATATTTGGTAACCAAATTAGCGATCTGACAGGACAATATGGAAATACCACATGCCATCAGAGAAATCTTTCAAGGTGCTGTGAATTCTAACTTACCAGAGAAAGATAGATATTTTTGTGAGGGGGACATTTTTAAGAATTTAAAGAGTATGTGGTTGAATAATGTTTAGAAAATTGTGGTTTTTGACCAGTGTGTTAGCATTTTACTTTCACTGTTTTTGTAATTTATTTCTTTGAGTAGTTGTCATTTTTCTCTTTAATAATTCCACAGCAAGCTCCTCTAGCTTCTTATTTATTTAATATGTATCTAATATATATTTTCTGTTATTATTTTGTGGGGAGGTTGTGGGTTTTTATTAAAAAATCAGATTGCATTGTGGATTATAAAAGATATTTTGTGGACCCTGTCCAGTATCTGTAACTTGAATAATGAATGTATCAAAATTCCCCTGTCAGATTTGTAGATACACTGAAGTTTCAAGGTGGTGAGGATAGTTTTAAAAGTGCTTGTAACAGGTCTTTCTGTCTGGATAACCTTAGTTTTTCTCAAATCTAGACAAGGCCCCACCCCTTTCTTTTTTAAACAGATGTTGATTGCCAAACTCACACCCAGGACTATGATCAAAGATACATGCCATCCATCTCCAAGGTGCATGAATCTGTAGGTCTTTATTTCACCCTCTCTGTACAGAAGTTCTTTATGTTTAGATTTTAACTAGCCTCTTTGTAGAGCAATTTCAATAAAGTTATTACATCCCATTATGAATATGTATGATATTTAGGTTTTCAGTTGCAGTGACTACTTAAATAAAATCTGAACAAACATTGGTTTAAGCACCAGTTTATGTGGTGATGTTCTTTGTTTTAAAGACCCCTTTTATAAAATTTTTCTCATACTATTTATAGTTTCAGAAACTAACTTTTGTTCTGAAAGTCTCATTCTTTTTTTTTTTCCCTCTTGAATAATTAGAAAATACCTGTAAAGAACTCCTATGCTTTTAGGGTCCATTGTCTAGCACAGTACTTCCACAGATTAGCCTCTCAATAAATGTCTGCAGTGACACTCTTGTCTCATAGTTCACTCAACACCAGAGTTGTAAAGTGGGTCTAAACATACATACTTCGATATATTCCTAACTGCCATCTAGTTTCTTAATACCAATCCCTCTTTTTGAGTATTCCTTACTTTGTGTATATGGCCTTTATTTTATTTGTTCAATTTTTTTCTCTTTCAACAGGGGAAAATGCAGTGTTGCCCTTCTAAATGAGACGGAGTCAGTATTGTCCTATCTTGATAAGGAGGTAATTCATGATTATGCTTGTTTTTTGGTTTTTTGTTTTGTTTCACACAATGCCCATAGCTTTGAGTTACTGATTTTTATATCAAATCATCATGGTATATTAAGTTTAATGACTATAATGTGTTTTGGCTAATTTGGCTTTTCTGGTTAGCTGAGATGAGAGTTGATAAAAACTTAGCTCTGTCACTCTCCCTTCCTACTTTTCAGTTGTTAATGAAAGACTTTATAAAGTATAGTTCCTAATTTACTTGGTAGTGTAATAAATATTTTGACTTTATGAAATAAATGCCTTTGGTGCATGGTCACCCTGCCCTCATTTTGTTATTGTTGTTTGTTTTAAACAAATAGCTTTTCTCTTAGACTTTTCTTCCAGATGAGATTTTACCATTGGTGGTCTATTTTCTTTCCTGGAATCCCAATAAACTTTGCAGCTAAAAATACTGTTTTGTATAAACTTCAACATGAAGTATTTTTTACATTTCAACAAGTTCAATTACAGCATGTAATTCATGGAAAGGAGCAAATTTTTATAAATAGATTATTCCATGTTATATGATCTTTGTATGTGGAAAATGTATTTTACTGTCAGTTATATTCAATATTTAACTTTCATGGTTTTTTAATGAAATGTATATATATACTGGTGGTGCCTAAGACAACTGACTAGTAACCAGAAGGTTGATAGTTTTAACCCACCAGCCACTCCATGAAAGAAAGATAGAGCAATCTACTTCTGTAAAGATTTACTGCTTTGGAAACCCACTGGGGGTTGCTGTGAGTTGGAATTGACTCGATGGCAGTGGGTTTGCTTTTATACATGTGTGTGTGCGTGCATGTGTGTATGTGTATATGTTTTGCTTAAAGGGACATATTTCCTTTTAAAAAAAATTATTATACCCCTTATCTCAGATGAACAAAATATTACAGAGGATTGATAAACATGCAAAAATAATACATGTCAGAAAAACTGATCAGGAAAACTAAAAAGGAAAAGTATGTAAGGCAGAAAAAGGATTAATAGCCTTTATAACTTGTGAAATTTAGTAAAGAAGGTAGGATTTGTCTACTGTCTGGCCAACAGAATGATAATATTGCTCAGAAATTAACTTTAGTTTATAGAAGAAGGAATAACAAGAGAGTAGAATTTCTTTTGTAAAAAAGTAGTATTTTCTCCTTCTAATTTGTTGTTACCAACTTGTATATGCTAAAGACTTAATTAGTAGATGAAAAGTAGCAGAGGCTTTTAAATTTTTTCCCCTAGCCCCTTGATTTTTAACTGCTCAGCCACTTATCACCA